AGCTAAAAGACAAGATCAGGAAAGAAAGGGCAGTCCCTGAGACAACTGGAAAGCCATATGCCAAAAACATGAATTTCAAGGTATTGCTCACGACATATACAAACGTTGACACCAAACAGATCACAGACTCAAATACAAATTCTAAAACAATAAAACTTCCGGAAGTAAACATGAGAGAAAATCCTAGTGACCTTGAATTCAACAAAGGTTTCCTAGACATACTATCAAATGCATGGTTCATAAAAGAAAAAATACATAGATTAGACTTCATCAAAAGTAAATACTTCTACCTTTCAAAAGTCACTGATAAGCAAATGAGAAGATAAAACACAGAGTAAGAGAAAAAGGACTGTTGTCCAGAATATTTAAAGAATCGAGACTGAATTATAAGAAAACAAACAAATCATTTTTTAAAAGGGTAAATGATTTGAAAAGATGCTTGACCAAAGAAAATTTATAAATGGCAAGTAAACATGAAAAGATGCTCAACACCATTAGTCAGGGGGAAAAGACAGGGGAAAAAAAAAAAAAAACACAATGAAAGATTCTCTATGTAATTTTTTTAAAGAATTATTTATTTTTATTTATTCATTTTTTAAAGATTTATTTATTTATTTATTTATTTATTTATTTATTTTATTGTTGTTGTTATTATTATTTAACTTGACCGGAAAGAGAGAGAGAGAAAGGGAAAGCGAGAAAGCAAGCCGCCATGTCCAGGACTTGAACCATGGTTGGCCATGTGAAAATCCAGCATTCTTAACCACCATGCCACCTGCTGGCCCCTCATTATTTATTCTAATTTGACCAAAGAGAGGCAGAGAGAGAGAGAGAGAAAGAGAGAGAAAGTAAAAAAGCGAGTGACAAGGTCCAGGACTTGAACCGTGGTCAGCCATGTGGGAGTGTCCAGTGCCTTTCCCACTACATCACCTGCTGGGCCCAAACTCTATATAAATTTTAGAAAGGTAAACACTGACCAGGAAGTGTTGATGAGGATGTGGAGGAACTAAAACTCACAAACTACTATCAGGAATATAAACTAGGATAGCCACTTTGGAAAGCAATTCAGTTATTTTTAAAAAATGAAAAAAAGGGGGATCAGCAGATGGCATAATGGTTATGTTGCTGGACTCCCATGTGGTCAACCACGGTTTGAGTCTTGAACCTGGAGGCTTAAAACTCACATTAGGCATGTGTGCATGCATGTCCAAAATCCCAAGAGGAGAATGGAGGAGAAGGGATTGTGGCATGAACATCCCCCTGGGAGGTTATTTCTCGCTATCTGTCTGTCTCTCTGGATAACACACATACCCTATAGCAAAAAAATGTCTCTCTTTAAAAAAACATTAAATTAAATTATAAAAGTGAGGGAAAAAAAGAAAGATTACAAAGAGACATGAGAAAATTGGGGTGATGGATGTATCCATTACCTGATTGTAGTGGCAGTTTCACAGATGTACACAAATGTCAATACATATTAAATATGTTTTATTGTGTATCAGTTATACATACAATAAATATAAAGCTGCTTTTAAAAAGAGAGAAGAAATAACTTATAGAATAACTTAATAAGTTACAGTTACTAAAAATTAGATATTTGGGGTCCAGCAAGTGGCATGGTAGTTAAGGTAGCTGGTTCTCACATGGTTGATTTAGTAATCTGAGTCTCAGACCCAGGGACCTGGGAAACACCCCAGGCACAGGTGCATATGTGCCCAAAATCCAACTGGGGAATAGAGGAGAAGGGCCTGTGGTGTGGGCATCTGCCCTGAGGGATGATTTCCTACTGTCTCTATCTGTCTTTCTTCAGCAGGTACATGCACCCTATGGCAAAATCTAAAGGAAAACATTTTTCTTGATACATTTGCTAGATATCTGGCAGGAATTTTCTAAAAAATGAATGAAGTGAGCTTGACTCTTCAAGGACAAAAAAACCTGACAGGTTTTGTTGCAAGTTATAAAATCTAAGCTTTCAAATGAAGAAGAAAATTTTGGAAAACGTGTATTTGCCTCTATGAACTTGACAGCTTCCCACTACATTTCTGATGAGAGTAGCTGTGACATTAACATGATCTTTTAATACTGTATAATAAAGCAGGTCACTATTTCAAAAATCTTATAACCTGGTGACCTATATTTTCCAAATGGCTGAAGCATGATGCTACAGAACCATGCATGGTAAAGATAAATTCAGATTGCAAAATCAATCAACGAACTTCATGTAACAGAGCCCCAAAAATTCATCAATACGGTTTCAGATACCACATTACATCTAGCCTTTAAGAAAATTTAGCAAAATCTACTGTGGTAAGCAGAATTTAAAGATGGCCTCTCAGAGATATCTCAACCTCATTTCTTGATCTGTGAATGTGATTGGATACCACTGTCATAATTCTTACCAGACATACGACAGATTGACCTTAAAGTAGAGCAATTACACAGGTGGGCGTGATCTAACCATATGTGCTCTTTCAAAAGCAGAGTACTCTCCAGCTGGTCAGAGAAGAGAAAGTCAGAGAAATTCAGAACACTTGAAGGACTTGACATGCCATTGCTTTGAAGATGTGAATATTTAAAAATACTCTACAGCAAGCAAAATAGTATGATCAAATGGAACCAATAACCCTAAGTTGGGGGAGAATTATGTAGACAGTATTTAATAGAAAAAGGTGTGACCATATAAAAAGAAACCAGACAACTGTAAGGAGCTAAGAGATGCCCTTGGGCCGGCAGGTGGTGTGGTGGATGGGGGCGTTGGATTTCCACATGGCCGACCATGGTTCAAGTTCTAGACCTAGTGGCTTGCTTCCTCACTTTCCCTTTCTCTCTCTCTCTCTCTCTCTCTCTGTCTCTATCTGTCAAATTGATAAATAATAACAAATAGAATAAAATAAAAAAATAAATATTTAAAAAAAAGAGATGCCCTCAGCTGACAAGCAAAGAAATGGGACTCTAACCCACAGCTGCAGAGTGGGATCTACCAGCAAGTGAATGGGCCTGCGAGCACTTTCCCCTAGAACAGCCAGAGGAAGTTCGGCCTAGCATCTTGATTTTGGCTTTGTGCTCCCTGAGCAGAGAACTCCGACCAGTCTGCCTCAATTCTAACCTGCACACCTGTGAGGAGATAAACAGCACTGCTTTATGCATTAGTCTGTAATAATGTGTTCTGCAGCACTGAAAGGCTAATACTCTTACCCTAAATCAAAACACACATAAACTTGGATCCAGCAACCCCACTGCTGAATTTTTACCCTACGGCTATACTGCTAATGATTTTTAGGAGTCCAAAGACACTAATTGGGCACTGTTTGTAAAATTAATGATAGAAATAATCCAACTATATGCTGGATAAATGATGTAATGCACGAAATGGAATGCTCTGTAGCCGTTACCAAGAAAAGGTTGAGCTATATGGATGACTATGAAACAATGAAACCAACAATATTGTGACAGAAAAGCAAGATCTAAAACAGTGTTATAGTACGATTTTCCTTAAAATTAAATGTAAATGATTTGCATAAAATCTACATCACTGCATCAAACATTTTCCTGGGGGAAAGAAAAACAACAAAACTATAAATAGCAAGTAGGTTTGGGATATAATTAGTTGCTGAATGGAAGGTTTTTGTTATTAATTTTCTACCTTTCACTACATTTTGAATTTTCTAATAAAGTTTATTATTCTAATTCATTTCAAAATGTCAACAGAGGCAACTAGTCAGCATTTAGGTAAACACTTGCCTGGTTCTTGTTTTATTCAACTCGGACAGAACGTCTGAAATTTACACCTATGCTCCTTTAACCCAAATCTCCTCTCCTCATCAGGTCTGCCAACCCCTGTCTAGGTTTCTCAGTTGCATTCCTTATTAGCCATTTACACCGATGTGAATCTTAGCATGTATTTGTAATATCTATGCACCCTATTTTACATTATAGACTATTCAATTAAAGTTTTGGACTGTATTCTTTCATTTCTTTATACTGAAAGCTACTTTAAGGCATGGATCATAAATAGTGCAAACAACTCAGACATACAATGTACCTAACACATAACACCATTTAATGAGAATGAAGATGATGATAACCCAGGCACCCTGCAGTTACATGGTAATATTAAGAAACAGTCCAGTAGCAAGCAGGATGGTATGACAAAACAGAACGAATGAGCCCAAATAGCAGAGGAATTGTGTAGACAGTACTTAATGGGTGAACTACAATAAGAGGTTTAGTTCATATATTTTAAACTAGAAATATTTTTCATATGTCTTTAAAGTTTTTTAATGAGGAAACAATTTTTAAAAGTAAAGCAAATCTTGAAGTTACCGAATATTGTGTCTATAAACCTTATCAAGATCAAATTATATCTGATTATGTTTTCTACAACAAGAAAATGGACAATAAAAATAAAAACAAAAACATACTCTGTCGGTTTGAGATTGTCCTTTGCTGTCAAAAATTGTTAACCAAAAGACCTGAACACGCTTGAAAGTCACCAGAAACAAATACCTGGACAAATTCCTGGGCAAGAAGGCCTTTTTGTTTGTTCACATAAGAAAGACGTTCATAGCCCGTAAGTGGCTTCAGCCACCATGAGATTATTACACACATACATCAAAGACGATGATGTGTGAGGATACACTTGGGCCAAATATTCGTGAACCCAGTGTGAGACCGCACCGTCACTGCTATGAAGCTAAGTAGATGGACGCCTCTGAAATGGCTTTTCACACATAAACGTTATGTATCACAGAATTCCATGTGTGATTACGTTCTAATAAATCTGTCTCCCCCCAAAATGTTGGCTGACATTTTCTAGAAAACAGCAAAGTGTTATTGCCTTTAAAAACACTGAGTGTATGGACAAGCTCTTTGTTATCAGGAAATGTTAAACAAAATCTTTGGAAACTTTACAAGGAGAAATCAAAGAGACCGAACATATAAAAAAAGTAATAAAATACGACATTAAAATGCCATCAAGCAAACGTCACAAATCACAGTACCTGGAACCAGTTCCATAATGATGTACACAGGCTGTCTTTGTGTGCAAACGCCTATAAGTTTGACAATATTGGGATGATCGTATTGCTTCAGTATTCTAGAAGAGAGAACAGTGTAAGAACAGATCATTTGAATGGTAAACAAAGCATTAATTAATGGCCATGAAGAGTACATATAATTTAATTCATGGTAGTCATAATTCAGTTTTAAAAATTTCAGTATGAGCACAATGTATAGTAAACGGATTATATACAAACAAGTTTTGATAAATACTAGCACATAACAGTTACGTTGAGTCAATTTCCTCGATTCAGTTTAATATTCATTTTAAAATTATTATCTACTCAAATAATTATTAATGAATAATTAATAACCATGCTAAATAGGAATACCCCAGTTAGTCTGAAACATGCAGAACTTTCTTCCAGGTATCTTGTGTTAGCTGCCACCACAAAAGTACAACTAAAAATATTAGTGGATCAAAAGTTGCAAACTGCTAGTGCAGGGTCTTTTTCTTAAATGCACATACTTGATTTTAAAACACATAAATATAAGAAATCATCTCAATAAATGGGCTATGCTTCCTTAGCATGATAATGAGTGGCAGCCAGTTCATTAGATTTCTGAACAGTTAAATACGTTCTGAATCATCATAACCAATTTAAAAATGGGAAAAACTCAAGTTTTGAGGAAATTGGCAAAAGGTTAAAGGTAATTGAACAACCAAGTTTCGTAGATCTAAGCCTAGGCAGAGTAGACTGGTTTTGGATAAGGACAAAATCTCTTCAGAGGGCTATAAAAGGAGGACAGATGTAATCCTAGGACTCCGACATGAACTAAAAATAGGTTCGTCCCCTGCCTGCCCACCCTAAGGATGTCCTATTACCAAGTTTTACTCCTTATTATCCTATTGACATAGTTACAAATTCATATTTGAAAAGTAACTTTGAAGAAAGATAAAAAGAATTATTTATGTTTTGTGCATTTAAAATCAAACCAGAAAAGGCTCTAAGAGGATGTTTTAGATTGAAAATATACAGTGACTGGGGGCAGCAGGGAGTGCAATGGTTGGAGCGCTGGACTCCCTTATGGCTGACTGTAGTTTGAGTCCTGGACCTGGCGGTTTGCTTTCTCACTTTCCATCTGTCTTTCTCTCTCTCTTTCTCTGTCTCCTTCTGATGAACACATGTACCTATGGCAAAATTTTTTAAAATAATAATAACAATAATTCTTTAAAAAAGGAAATACATAGTGATTTATAAATGAAAAGACAGATTGAAAATAATTCCAGAGAAGAAAGAAATATTCCTTTTTAAAAACATTTCTTTCTTTCTTCTATAAGCGAGTGAGAAATGAGCGAGTGCATCCCCAATAGGGTCTTGATGCTGAAACCCACCCCCAGCTGTGTGATGCCCAGTGTGCTCGGAGGTTGCCAGATGTGAACCTGGAACCTTCTAACACGGTCTGCCTCCCGGAGCATCACATTTTACCTCTATGTCATCGTCTGGCCCAATAAAGGGAGTTTTTTTTTTTTTTTTTTTTTTTTTTGCTATAAGGTGCGTGCCAGAGACAGAGAGAGACATAGAGACAGAAAGCGAGAAATCACCCCCCAGAGGGGATGGTCACGCCACAATCCCTTCTCCTCCACTCTCCTCTCGGGATCTTGGGCATGCACGCACACACGCCCGGCATGAGTTTTAAGTCACTGGGTCCGGGACGCGAACCGCAGTTGACTATGTGGGAGTCCAGCGACATAGCCATTACGCTAACTGCTGGTTCCCAATAAAGGGAGTATTCTGTCAATAACTTTAAGCTTGTGACTTCTACTAGAAATTAAAAAGGAAGTTTTAAGAATGTTTGACTTTAATCCAAAATGTCACTTCTTAGGTCAGAAACTGCTTAGTAAAGAAATGGCACAAAATAGGCACTGAGAGCTCAGATACTATTAAATATCTCTGTGTATAGCTCTCATCGGTTAAAGGAGACTCAGAAATTCACATGGATATAATTTGCATTCTTACATAAAAGTTTATCATTTCAGTTTAAAAGAGGAAATTAAACTCTTTTTATTTTGCAATATAACAATTACAAGCTAAAAGAAATTTAACTATTTTTGAAGAGTTAGACATAGCCTTTTACCTTAAGACTACCTATGAATAATTCTAAAATAATGAGCCTATGAATTTCAATTATGATACCTTTTCATTTATCATTATAACTTTTTCCTAAATTGCCAATATTATACATAAAAAAAAGTCCACAACATTATTCTATAGATAACACTTCCTAAAGGCATCCAATTAGTTTAAGTCATTGCCATCAACACTCAGTTTTAGATGATGAATAGAGAAATGTGTATCAAACGCTCCGTGCCGTGTGACTCAGTTCTCCTGTCACCGTCTCCTCTGTTCTCCATGGCACCTTCTCTGCTCACCATGGAATCTCTGCATCCTGTATCCCCCGGCCCTATCCATCCATAGCTCATCTGTCTCCTCTCCATACATTCAACCAGATCGCTCTGTCCAAAGTAGACTTCCATTTCTTTGGTGTTTTGTTGTATACACCGGATTTTACAGCAAACAGAATAGTTTTAAGTATCTGCAATACAGGATTACCAAGGTGGAACTTCACGTTTTAGCTAATAGTGGAAAAAACTGAGGACAATCAAAGATGATCAACTAGAAAAGGTCCAAAGTACCAATTCTAGAATAAATGCCAGACACTAATCTAAAAATAGAAATCTGAGGGGCCAGCAGGTGGCGTGGTGGTTAAGGTGCAGGATCGCACATGGCTGACTGTGCTGTTCAAGTCCCAGATCCAGCAGCTTGAAAAACGTGCTGGGCGCATGTGTGTGCATGTCCAAAATCCTGAGAGTGGAATGGAAGAGAAGGGACTGTGGTGTAACCATTCCCTCTGGGGAGTGATTTCTCACTTTTTTCTTCCTGTCTATGTTGTCTCTCTCCATTTGACTGCACATGCCCCATAGCTCCCCCCCCCCAAAAAAAAAAGAAAGAAAGAAAGAAAAAGGAAATTTGAGGAGTTCAGAAAAGACAACTAATAGTTGAGAGAAGAGACTCAAGTGATAACAGTCAAGGAAAGTTGAACAGGTAAAATTGTATATCTAAGTGTACACCTAGGTTACATACTTTATGCATATTAATTATCTAGACAGTCACCACGCTGCATATATTCATACAGTCACACATATTTTAATGAAGGGAGAGGTCCAGTGACTTCACTGGAAGAGGTGACTTCACTGTCGTCATTGAGCGTGCACACCCAACCCTGGATGGCGCAGCCTAATGCGTACCTAAACTGTGTGCTGTAGTCTATGGGTATAGTAGTTCTATAAGGAACGTACACGTGGCCCTCCCTGCCTCTGGTGACTGAGATGTCATCACATGTTGCATGACAGTAGGTGTGTGAAATAAAAGCAAAATAAACTGAAACTCTTCTTAAGGACCTAAATACTCACTGCTTTTTAACACCTGGTTCTGTGAACACGATTGCCAGATCTACAGACCACCTCGAAAACAGAATTTTTTGTTATTTTCACATTGCAAAAGTGCTTACTTATGAGGGCTCTGAAAAATGCATATTCCTACTTCAGCAAAACATAATATATCTTCAAACTTACATTATAGCAAGTCACTTACAAATACTTATTTTATATTCCTTTAGAGAACTCACTTGGCTTCTTGTAAAAATTTTATTTTCAGTTCCTGAGGAAGATCTTCTTTACATGTTTTCACAGCAACGGGAGTCTTATCCTTGAGTGTGCCTTTATATACTTCACCGAAGTTTCCCTGGAAATACAAACACATTCATTGTTTGGGCGTATGACAGAATGTAAACCTTCGCCAAACACTATGAAAGCATGCACTAGAGCTTTTTGACTTAATCCAAGAACTCTGTTAACTTTATTCAAAATTTTGAACGGAAATAAAGATAGTAATGCTGCTCTTATCAATTCCCAAAGTTAGATACTACTCAACATACCATGCAGGGACTTAAGTCCAGAGAGAACTGGAAAGGAAAGAAAATGGAAGAAAAAAACGGAAAAAAATGAAGGAGAAACCCAAATGGATGCTGTCAGAGCACATGAATTTCATTCCACTGAGTTCCCTTCACCTCCTAGGCTATTTTGTTAGATTAAACAGCAGGTGGGGTGGTGACAAAGTAGGTGGATCCCACATGGATGACTATGCAGTTTGAGTTCCTGACATCAGTAGTTTGAAAAACACGCCAGGTACATATGTGTGTGCCTGAAATCCTGAGAAGACAATGGAGGAGGAGGAGGGATTGTGGTGTGGCCATCCCCCCTGAGGGGGTGACTTCTTCTCATTTTCTCACTCTCCCTTTCTCTCTGGCAAGTGCACATGCCCTATGGCAAACTAAATAATAATAATAATATTAAATAAATCCATTAATGTTTAAATATATTCAGAGGATTAGCTGCTGGTATTGATCCACATGCATACATATAAGTTGTGCTAGAATTAGAACAGAGGAGAAGGAACAGGACCCAGGAATTAATAGTCTGTCAACAGTTGCTATCACAGGTTGGCAGTCTCTGGAAGGTACCAAAGAGGAGGAGGTGCAGGCACATACCCAAATGTCAACGTGACCTGTGGTGAACTAATTTCTATCGAACATAGGAACTTCTAACTTTATTCTATGGGTAAAATCTATTTTGATATAAAATGCCTTATTTAACAATGAATTTATTTAAGAAGAGAAAAAACTTCGAAGTCCATTTATTTTCCCCTTAGGTCATTTTAATCTTTGTATTTTCCCCTATCTGTAATCACAATACACAAACACTGTATGACAATAAATTTCATGTTACTGTTGCTGAGCATGAAGAAACGGAACTAGGAGTCTGCTTGTTTGTGAGTTTCAAAGTTCTAAGATAAATGTAAATCTTTACTTCAAAAATTTACACATCTGGGAACCAGCAGTTAGCGTAATGGCTATGTCGCTGGACTCCCACGTAGTCGACCGCAGTTCGCGTCCCGGACCCGGTGGCTTACACCTCACGCCAGTGTGTGCGTGCCCAAGATCCCGAGAAGAGAATGGAGAAGAAGGGATTGCGGCGTGACCATCCCCCCGGGGGGTGATTTCTCGCTTTCTGTCTCTATGTCTCTGTCTGTCTGGCGAGCGCACGCGCCCTATAGCGAAAACCTCTCAAAAAAAAAATTTACACATCTTATACTACTGGTTATTAATAAACAATTTTAAGTTATTATAAAAATAATAATAAAATACTATTTTTTAAAATAGAGGCCAACAGGTGGTGTGATGGGTAAGATGCTGGACTGCCATGTGGCCAACTGTGGTTCGAGGCCCAGACCCAGAAGCTTGAAAATCATGCAGGACCATGTGCATGTGTGCCCAAAATCCTGAGAGGAGAATGGAGAAGAGATTGCAGTGTGGCCATCCCCTCTGGGGGTAATTTCTCACTTTCCCTGTCTTTGTCTCCTTCTCTCTGGTGAGTACAAGTGCCTCATGCCAAAATGTATTTAAAAGAAAAAAATGCTTTTAAATACATTTTAATAATAGAAGTCCTATATTAATTTTGTACCATCAAATTTAATACTGAACTCTTAAATATTTATAAAACAATTATCTTTTCATGAAAAGCAAACATTCTTTGAATCTTCAACATCGTAACCATTCATCATAAGTTAGAAAAATAAAAATAAAAGCTTTATGTTTCTGTTATTTTCAAGGGCTCATGCCCCAACAATTGTCAGATTTATTATATCACATCACAGGTAGGATTAATATTCATGACTACTGCTAGTGCTCTACTTACCTGGATCATTCTAATGCTTTTTTTTTTTTTTTTTGGAGAGGTTTTCACTATAGGGGGCATGCACTCGCCAGACAGACAGAGAGAGACATAGAGACAGAAAGCGAGAAATCACCCCCCAGGGGGGATGGTCACACCGCAATCCCTTCTCCTCCATTCTCTTCTCGGGATCTTGGGCACGCACACACACGCGCTCGGCATGAGTTTTAAGCCACCGGGTCCGGGACGCGAACCACGGTCAACTACGTGGGAGTCCAGCAACATAGGCATTACGCTAACTGCTGGTTCCCTCATTCTAATGCATTTTAAAAATTCTTTTATTGATTTACTATTTTATTTATATATTTATTTATTATTTTTTACATTCAATCACTGTATCTATCCCAGCATACCAAATGAATTTTCCCATCCTGAATACACAGTATATAGGTTTAGTCAAAGATATTACCATACCTATTATCATCAACAGGTAATTTTGGTAATTCAACATATTTGAATCTTACATTACTCATGAGAAGATTCACCCTGGTTAAATTACTTGTTTTGGTTACTAGGACTATCATTCTTCCTGTCAGTGCTTGGATTCTACCTCTACAATACTTCAGTCTGCCCCTTGTACCTCAGAAAGGCTACCCTTGTTCAACCTCAGTTTTCTCACCCTGGCTGATCCCATCTTCAGTCCTCCTTCCTTCTCTTCCTAGAGAAAACTGGGATGATGCTGTTGCCTTGCTCGAAAGCCTTCCTCCATTACCCTCACCTCCTTAGCCTCTGTCTAGGTCCACACTGTCCCCACACGTTACATGTGTTCCAAACTCAAATACTTACGGATCCCCAAATCTGTGCTATGCCTTTTCTACATTTTCAGTCCTCTATGGAAAACTCCCTCATCCAAGTTGAGAAACTACTACCTAATCTCAAAGTCCAACTTTTTTTTCTAAGCTTTTGCTATAGGCTGCCTGAGCTTATGAGAGAGAGAGACAGAGAGAGAGAGAGAGGAAAGTGAGAATTCACCTCTTTGGGATGGCCACACCTTCTCTGTCATTCTCTTTTCAGGATTTCCGGCACGCACACATACATATCTAGAGTGATTTTCCAGCCACTGGGTCTGGGACTCATGTGGGATCCAGTGCCTTAACCCCACGCCACCTGCTGAATGCTTTAAGTCCATTTTTTATGCCCTATTGTTTTAGAAGGCTTTCTTGGTATCCCCAAAACTATGTCTCTCATTCCTGAACACTCATCATCCCATTACCCTTTGTACCTTTCTAATGGTTCCTGCCTTCCATAATAGGTCTTGGCACATACTAGACATCTGAAAATTTTCTATGTTCATTCAACAATCATTACTCAGAGAACTTCAACTCCATCAGTGGTGGCCAAGGGAGAAATCTCCAAACCAAGACAAAGACTATGCTTTCCAAGGCCACCTCTTCTCCATCTAAAGAGGTCAGGAGAAACCGAGGACACTCTTTACTCCCTGATCTTCAACAAGCTTGAATACATTCTGTGACTGACTTTAAGTCCACAAGGACAAATTCCTTTATGTTCCTTGTCTAAGTTTATATCTGTCATCATAAGATCTTGGTCCCAGGGTAATCCTCAGTTCCTCTTTTTATCCCCATTAGACTCTATGCACTTCTAATGACCCTCTTTCCCCTTCTATCTCTGCTTCCATTGGTGTATAATCATCAAAATTATGTCTTCAAGATATTGTTTGCTGATTACTATTAAGTTCTTGTTCTAACGGATTCCTGGATCACACTTGAGAATATCTGAATGGTTAATAAGTTTCATTTTGCTCTCAAAGCCTGAGTGATGGTATTTTCCCATCTAATTCTACCACGTACTGGAGGTAGAATAAAGTTCCTTATCACAGGCTTCAAACCATTATCCCTCCTGCAGTCTTAACTCCCAGTTTGGATGAAATTTTGTCATTTGATTATATTACTCACTGTCTCTCACTGTGGCTATCACCTATTGAATCTGAAAATATTTCCCCACATTGACTGACAATCTGAGTTGCTGAGTCATTATCATACTGAGGCAGGAAGAAAGCTAGGGAATGGAAGTGGGTAAGGGGGCTGGAGTCTCTTTCTATGTGGCTATATGGAAAAGTGATCGGGGCAGAGAATTCTCCATTTGAGGTCATGGAAGTGGGCTCTGCCACATTTGATATGGCTGTTGAGATGAATTGGTGGGCTCTGCCACTTTTGCATAGCTAATGAGATAAATTGGTGTGCCCGGCCAATGATCAACTGACAGCCCCAGTCAAGGAATTATACATCCCATGGGAAGTAACAACTGTGGCCCCTGAGCCACTCTTTCTCTCTCTCTCCACTCAGTGTACTTTCCGTTTTACTTAGTAACTACCCTTTGCTTTCACTATTGGTGTGTTTTGTTCAATTCTTTGTCCAAAAACACCAAGAATCTGGACATCACTGAAGCCATTCTGCAACAACTCTATCCTGTGTTACTCTTGTCTTAATTCTTGGAAAAATCAACAGATACTTTAAAGATCCTTCTAACACTTCAAATTCTGTTTTTGAACATCACTCTAAGATCTTGTCTCTGTTTCCTTTTGCAGTAAAACTTCAAAGAGTTACATCCTTGCTATCTCTAATTCCTCTCCTCCCATTCTCTCTCAAATCCATTCCAACTTGTCTTTCACCAAAGCATCCCAAAGAACCACTCGGCCAAGACACTAGTGACCTCCTCATTGCTAAATCAAGTGATTAATGTTCAGTTCACCATCCCATCTGACTGCTCAGCAGCACCAGATACCAGTGATCACTCATCCTTTATGACTTCCTCCTCTTGGTTTTGAAGATCAGATCTCCTGGTTCTCTGCCTTATTAAATGGCTGTTCTTTCTCAGTCTCCCTTGAGGGTTCTTCTCTTTGCCTCATCCCCTTGATGATGGAGTTACCAAAGATCAATCTTGGATCCTTTTCTCTATCTAGACTCATCCTGTTGTTGAATCCATCTGATCTTATGGTTTTAAATATCAAGTATATACCAACAATTTACCAAGCTTATACTTTTTTTTTCTTTTTTTGGAGAGGTTTTTGCTATAGGGCATGTGCGCTCGCCAGACAGACAGAGGCAGAAAGTGAGAAATCATCCCCCGGGGGGATGGCCACGCCGCAATCCCTTCTCCTCCATTCTCCTCTTGGGATCTTGGGCACGCACGCACATGCGCCCGGCGTGAGCTTAAGCCACTGGGTCTAGGACTCGAACCGCGGTCAACTACATGGGAGTCCAGTGACATAGCCATTACGCTAACTGCTGGTCCCCCAA